CCGATATTTGTTTAATGCTTCTGGCCAAGAGCACGCATTCATTTTATCTGTTTTGTTGTGTTCTCGTAGATATAGGAGGAACATCTCATCTCATTCTTCGGTGTAGGACTCAATGTGTTTTAGCTCGGCAACGCAACCCATCTTATGGACCGAGTAGTAACAGAACGCTGTCAATCCTCGTCACGTACGAGCAGGGAACCATCAAGATGTTCAATGATCACGACCGAACCCCGTTCATGACATACACCGATCCTCACCCGCTCACTATTCGTCATGTTGCAATTTGTAAATACACGACCGAGGGAAGATTTGTTATTCATGTCTGTGATTCGTATTAACTCACGTACAGTGAATCCGATCGCAAAGGCTTTCGAAGAAAATCAACCTAAGGCGAATTCAATAGCCTTGGCCATCACCTATTGAAATGTGCGAATATTACAAAGATTTGTTTTCCTTCTCAACCTCTTTCGAGGTATTTATTAGCACTAACATATGTATATACAATTTTTGTTTAAACAATCATAATTTTACAGCAACCATTGATAACAAAATTTGAACTTTACCTTCTTTTCCAAATGTATAGTAACTAACACTTTACAGATATGATTTCCCCATAAAATTAAAATTAACCCATAAAGAATTTGCGGGTTTTGTTAACCTATGAATGTACATTTTGTATAATTTCGATAGACTGTTTCTGTGCTATGTTGCCAATAAGATTTATCATATCGTAAGTTACATCGTCCACTTTATAGTCTATCACTAGAAGTTCTTCGCTTAAATATATATTTATCTTGCAATGGTGATATAAAAGCCTTTGAAGGATTTCCAAAATGTTCGTACGAGTTTACAGTGTAATAAAAAATGAAAAGTTATTTCACTCTCCTCACACTGTCTACATTTGCTGTCATTAAGAACACCATTTTAGCAAATTTTCTTTTGAAGGTAAACTACTGTTCAGAAATTTTATATTAAATTGCTAATCATGATTTCCCTAAATTGTAAATAACATTTTCCAATTGAAAAAGTCTGGTAATGACAAAACATTAGACCAAAATGATATAGTTGACGATTGTTGAGAAACCCATGCACTCAATATTGAATATACCCTTTTTTGTAGTTATAGAACGAAGAGATATATCATCTCCTGTTTTAAGTGTAATTTAATCATCTTCATTTCGTTAGCAATTAATGGTATTTTCTCTAGACCTCATCTTATTAAAAAAGATATATTGCCTAATCAGAACATGGTTCCCTTATGCAATAAGTTTGCGTCTAAACATTAATTTTTCAGGCCCCAAGTTGGCTTTTTTTTTGGGGGGGGGATTCTTTGTGACCGTCTCTTTAGTTTTAAAAGAACGACATTTCGACATGTCTGACATTTTTTCAAGAAAGAAAGGCAGTTATACTTAGATCGATAGTTTGTTGCGAGTAACCCCAGCACATTTCACATGGACAAATTGCTTAATAGATCTAGTGCTAAACAATTAAGAAAACCCGTTAAATTCATAACAGTAATAATACAATTATTTTCGTTGGATCCTAAGGCTGTAAGGCATTGTCCTATTTTTGTTAATAAAAGTGTAGTTACTCGTAGTGGTAGACAAACCAAACCAAGTGATATTTTAGACTTATAACTTAAAACTGTATATTGTATACTTAGTCTTTAGCTCATGTTTATTGTGTTTTAGAAATATAAAATGTACCATATCTTACTTTGTTTTATATCTTTCTGTATTGTATTGTAAATATGTTGTGCTTTCATACCCCTGACGCAGGTCGATAAAGTCAAATAAATACAATCTTATCTAAATCTAAATCTAAAATCTTATCATCGAAGTAGAACGATAAAACCAGCAATATTAGTATATTAGAATCGATTCGCGCACAAGAGTAGGATATATTCATCAAAACAATGAATTGCCATTCGTTTGTGAATCGAGTTGCTTTCATTTGATTCGTTTTTGTCTTATTATGGACTCTTATCTCAATATAAGGTTGAATAATGAATAAAGAAACATCATGAATATCATTTATCTTCGTTTTGATATCTTTTACTTTACCTTTATGTATTTAGTAATTTATATACGTAACTATTTACTCGTGAATATGCTTTAAAAAAAAAATTAAAAAAAATGTTGTCACTTCAAGGTACATTGATATATTTGACAAATGATTCACACACCAGTGAAAATGAACATTTAATTATATAATGCATTGAACATTATGCAGCTTATTTACGTATCAAATATCTTTCTTCACTTATCTGAAAATGGATATCCACTGGGCCATGCCCTGCCACCTGCTGTCATGGGTCACCTACGTCATGATTGCATTGTTCATTACTTCTGTGCCCGCACTTCGTTTGGTAATACTCATTTAAAATCCTTCATAATGACTTGAAGGCTGGGTTATACTAATCATATATATTAAAGTCGCAACCCTCATCTTCATAATGATTGTAACTCAGTTTTCGGACTTCCTTGTAAACTAAATCGGCCCAGCATAGCTGACACGGTGTCACTATGGATGTTATCACAATTATAACAATAACAATAATAATAATGAGTTGAATTTGAATTTATTAACAACATAACACAATGTTACAAATGTATTCTAGTGGGTTACAAAATAACAATGAAACAGTTGATGTCGTATACATATCCATACATGAGTTACAAAGAAAAAGAAAATGTCCATAGTTGAACCATTGTGTACCAAATTCATCATATCATGTCATATCAAACCTGTGAATTAGACATAACTTAACATGTTGCTGTAATTGAAATTCGCAGAGTTAACTGATTCAAATAAAGGATATTTTAAACTTAAAAACTTAAAATGTTGTTAAAGGGAGAACCAAAAGTTAGCACGAGTGCTAGTCGGGATTGGTTCTCCAAGTTTTCTAAAACTGTATGCAAAGTCATACTATATATTCACACTCAACAATTAAGCAGGAATATTTATTTTGACTTAATAGCATATTATTTGATCCTTATATATGATTTATCTCTGCTGAAGAGTTTAATCTGAGATTTTTACGAAATGATGATCTTGTTTTTCTTCTCTTATATTTATGGGCAAATTGTTCCACAGCTTTGCTTCAATGAATTAAATTGAAAAAAGTCCCATGTCTCGTACTACATTTAGGTACTAGTAATCGTAGCATTAAATGTTCTCTCCCTCTTGTTCTATACATGTGATTCATTAAATCAAAGTAATCCATTAACGAATGTGGTAAATGTCCTTTCTGCAGGTCATATACAAATGCTGATACTGAATGCTCCCCGGGTAATTGCCCTTGCCCTTGGTTGACCTTGTGGATGGGGGGATGGGTGTCCTAGGGGGTAATTTCAGGGGTGTGGGGATAATTGAGAATTTTGGATAAAAGTGGAATAAATCCTGTCATGTATAAACCCATTAACCACCTTGGTGGAGAGTGACATAATGTGAATTAATGTCTTGCCAAAATACATAAGTGCTGGGTTGCAGGATTCGAACCCTAAATCCCTGGATTGAGAGTCAAGTGATGAACCACTATACCACAAATCCTCCACATCTCCAAAAAAAGAGGTACATTTGTAATACTTGTAAGCAAAGAATTTTCACATTTGATTATTATCAGATATTTGCTCAAAACAGCATTACAAAAACCAATTAACCAAATCATGTCAAATTATTGCTATCGAAGATCTTTCGGAAAGTCATTCATGAGGCGTCTTACGTGTAGGTCGATCCTAATATGCGATTTTTTGGCTTGATTGGAGGTCATAACTACGCTTTTGATTGTATCAAATTATTGTTAGAAAAGACATCTATTCAGCCAAATTCAAAAGTCAGATGCACTGGTTATGTTAGCTGTAAAAACTTATTATGATATGGAAATTTCGTGAAAAAATGGTTTCATTTTACTAAATGATTCTGAGTGTCTTTGTTCAGTTTGCATGTTAGCTTAATATCTTATAAGTCGCTGTGCGGCCGAGGTTGTGTTTTAATATTAAGTTTATTGTTTGAATATGTGTATGACACGTCATGGAATAGTGCCTGTTTCGATCTTTTGTGATTTATTTAATGGTTATGTCGATTATTAAGAAAGGAACCCTGTGGAAGGGTAAATAGAGAGAAAAAATAATAACAGGACATTTCATGCAGATATTTGAAAGTTAGCACACAACAAAATGGCAAAATATATCTCCGAGAGGAAAAATTATCTTGTCTCGACGCGATTTCGAAAACTTGCATAATCATTCATTTTCCAGCTAAGCTCTCTCTCTCTCTCTCTCATCCCCTCGCTCTCTCCTACCTCCCCCTCTCTTGTCCTATCCTCTACCAGCCTCTACCCCCCATCTCTTCTTCCTCGCCCACTCCCATTATCTATCTATTTCCCGCACCAAGCACCTAGTTTAAACATTCCGTTTGCCTACTAAAGCTGACACACTGGCTGAGCTTGCATTATAATGTTTGTGCTTTCATGAATTGTTAATGTCTTTTAGCATAATAAATCGAAATCGACTCCCTCCAGTGAATTAGGCATCGGTGGTGGGCTCTATTTTCCCACGGTCATCATAGACATATCTATGCCAGAAATGTTTTAAAATATATACTTACTATAATTATGAAGTGTCTGCAGTCCCCCCCCCCCCCCCCCCAATCCGGTAACGGAGGGGCCGCATTCATGTTCCCAAAATGTCCGGTAAAGGGGTACTTTTCACGCAACAAAATCCGGCTCGTAACACACAAAATATCGGCCCGGATTGACTTTACACACCGGACTTATAGGGGGTGTTTTCAAAAGGAGGGAACGTGCATACTAGTACCCTAAATAACACTGAGAAGGGGGGGGGGGGACGGGAGTGCCTTGTGGAAACTGAAAAGTTACAAAGTTCATCATTTCCATTTTTATAAACCACACGCTGTGAAAGTAGATTCGAGCAGTATCAAACACCTAATACTGTTCAGAGGCACATACGAAACGCCTGCAAATCTGCATCTTGGGGCATCTACAAAATTGGTAAGATCAGGCGACTGCTTGACAAAGCCTCCACTGAAAGACTTGTCACGCCTTCTTCTCCTCCCATCTGGACTATTGCAACTCCCTCCTTGCTGGCCTGCCAATTTCTCATATATCTTCTCAGCGTATCTAAAATTAAGCAGCTAGATTGATCACATTAAGTAGGATACAATCATGACCATAATTCTATCCCCTGTTCTTTGCTCACTGGATTTTTTGGGTTAAAATATCTCTGCTGAAGCAAAAGCGTAGGCCGGATCACTTTTTTGATAAACATTATTTTGTTTTAATTCGTTGGTAGGTTTATAATTATGTCGTTGTATAAAGGCGCTATATTGTGCATGTTGGATATAATTAATATAATAATAATAATAATAATAATAATAATACATTTATAGAGCGCAGAAACTATCCAACATTAAGTATATATTCTACTGCGCTACAAGAGCTCCTGGTATGCTTAGATTTACAGTTAATTAAAAAGATGTGTTTTTTTGTTCCGATTTAAAGACATTTACAGGTGGTGATTTCCTGACTTCAAATGGCAAGTCATTCCAGACTTTTGGGGCTGCACAAGCAAATGCTCGATCACCTAGCGTTATTTTTGTTTTGAAAAATGAGATCTGCATTATTAGTTTGTTTGGCCTTTTGTCTGTCTGCTGTCGACCCATCGGTGTGGCTCCGGTAGAACATGATCAGGTGCATGAGCAGCATCTCCGCCGCATCGCTTTTAACTCATGTCGATACACCTTTAGGCGAAGAGAAAATAAGAGCGGGTTGACGCATGCATTCAGGTTTGCCAGGAATATCAGAAACTTATACCAAGACGAAAAGAAGTCAATCTTCACTCCAAGACTGTAAGACAAGAACATCCACTGATTAGGTGACCAGCAGATGAGATAGAGAAGGTACATGGCGAGGAGGACTCTAGTCGTATTGCGTCTCTGGAGCTTAGCCCCGTTTTTCACTGCTGGCGGTTTCTTCTGCGCGCTGCGGATGTGGCTCTTCGTAGTTGAGCACTTTGACTCCTCACCGGCTTCGATTTGTTCCTGAGACCTTGTACGATCTGTATTTGGAACTTGCAGATGTAAACGTGTCGTGTTTCCCGTCTCTACAACATTTTTGTTTTCACAGTCGATTGTTGCTGCACCAACTCTATACGCTTCAGGCTCCTCGCAGTGACCTCTGTTGTCTTGTCTTGCCGATGATCTGTCTGCCACGGATGTCTTAGGGATCTGAAAGATTACGGAGCGATGTAGCTGCCCAGTCCCTCGTTCTATTGCCACTTTATTCAGCTTGCGGAACTTGAGGATGATGGCTGCGAAGGAATATGTCATTATGCACACAGGAATGAAGTACTCCCAGAAAAATAATAATACAAGAATGATGCTGCCTTCAAAGTGGCACTGGCCGCCAGAAGCGTCATAATGAAGGATAACATTTAAAACTTGAAATACGGGGCCGAATACCCATGTTGAAGCTATGAAGAAGCCTAGAGCACGCTTCTTGAAGTTCCTTGAATACCAGATAGGATGGACCACAGCGAGGTAACGCTCAATGGAGAGCGCAACCATGTTGAAGGTTGATACGGTAAAGCATCCAAATACGAGGATTAACGAGTTCCAAAGATTGCAATAGATAATAGCTCCTAGAACTGTCTTCTCCGATGAACGTATACCCCCAATGTCGGACAGGGTGGCAGCCATGAGCAGGGCAGATGCAAGACAATCGACAACGGCTTGGTTGACGATGAGGAGATTGGTGTTGTTTCGAACAGAACGACGACAGAGAACAATCACGCTTGTCAAGTTTCCGAACACCCCAATGATTCCTATGAGGATTTGACATACTTGAGCCCAACTCACAGATTCATCCAGGTCTTCTTGCACCGTTGGGAAAACAGATTTATTATTGTTCAGAAGCAACGATTCTTTCATTTCACTAGACTCCATGCCTTACATCACATCATTCACGCCAACAAGTCTTAACATAATAGTAAAGCAGGGCTTACATCAGCAACCCATACCACCATTCATCGTTTCCATTATGGCACTCTCGCACGAAGTCATTCTCATCAATAAAATTATGATAAACCTATCGCAAATCAAACAACCGCTAATGGCGAAGGGCGAAATACTATGATTGTTTGGAGCGGCTCGAGGCACGACTTCTTAATCATATTTTTGTTTGCTTATTGTGGCAAGAAATGGCTACCGAAGTCTTACGTCTAGATTTCGTGCATGTTTTCCTCTAATAGGTGAGAGAAAAAACTGGCTAAAACTTGAGGAACATTGGAGTATACAGGCAAGAGATGGGGGTTTGGTCTACAGCGCCCCTCCCCCGACCCCCCCCCCTCATAAAAGCGTTTACGGAAAAGGGTGGAGCAGCCCAGGGGCGGATCCAGCCGGCGGCAAAGGAGGGTGCCAGGTGGAGGGGGCCCGTCTTCTTTTTTTCTTCAAAAAAGGTTAAAGTTACCTGTTTTGGGGACCAGGGGAGGACCCGGCCCCCCTGGATCCGCCACTGGAGTAGCCCTACGCCATTGATTGAAGGTCCACATTAGAATTGCAGCGCGATCATGTTCCGTGTCCAATCCAGGAGGGGTTTTAAATCCTATTCACTAACTTCTGGATACGTCACACCCTGTCACTCCCCAATTAGCCTTACTATGACACCACCGTTTGTCGGTAGTTTTTGTTGATGGGCTGCTCATGATGGATGACATGTTATATACCACTGGCGGACCACTGGCAACGTTGGAGAAGTTAAATCAATTAAGTGACCTTTTTGATACAGCTAATGGGTATGAATTTAATAGTCTCTTTAAAGGACAGTTTATCAGTTTCCGAAATGAAACATGTTATGAAGATGGTAAATTAAAATCACCGGAGCATGTCAATGGTATATGTTTGAATAAATATGATTTTTAGTTTCCTCTGGGGGCAATTCTATGCATAGTTTTAGGACACCTACCCCCTGGAAAACCACCCTTCGGATAACCACTCTCTAGGACAACTGCCCCTCGGACAACCACCCTCTAGGACGACTTTCTCCTGGACAATTATTACCCTCAAGGATGATTACCGCCCCCCATCTAACTTCCCCCTGGGACAACTACCCCCGGACCACAACCCTTAGACAACTACCCCATAAGACAGCTACCCCCGACCGATAATTACCCTAAGTGGTTATTGTCCGGGATAGTTGGGAGGTAGTTACCATAGGTGGTAGATGTCAAGGAGGTATATCCTAGAGGGCGGTTGCCTTAGAGGGTAGTAACTGTTGTCTGGGGGTAATTTCCTGGAGGATGGTTTTTCTAAGGGGTAGTTGTGTGGGTGGTAATTGTCCGCGGGGTAGTTTTCCTAGAGGTTGGTTGTCCTATAGGGGGTAGTTGTCTGGGGATAGTTGTCCGGGGGTAGTTTTCCTAGAGGGTGGTTGTCCTAGGGGGTAGTTGTCTGTGGGTAGTTGTCCGGGTTAGTTGTTCTAGGTGGTAGTCGTCCTAGGGGTTGTTGTCCTAGAGAGTGGTTATTCGGGGGTGGTGTATGTCCAGGGGTAGGTGTCACGACCAGGCGCGTACGCAGGATTTTTTCAAGGGGGGGGGGGGTGGGGGGGGTTTAACATTTATAAATCGGGCCGAAAATTTCGCAAGACTCAGCCAGCCGCTGAAAAGCGGGGAGGGGGGGGGGGGGGGGTGGGGGGTAAGAGGACACTTTTTTTTTTTTGGAAATGAAATTTGACATTTTGCTCCGCTAGGGGGGGGGGTAAGGTCATCTTTTTGAGTCAGCCATGGGATTAGGGTTAATAAAAAAATTAAAAATTTAATTTTTTTTTTAAATCCAAAAGGGGGGGGGAGGGGGTTTTAGGGGAATTTAGGGGGGGGGTTTTACACACAACAAAAAAATACCAAAGGGGGGTTTAACCCCCAAAAACCCCCCCCCCCCCCCCCCCCCCCCCCCCCCCCCCCACCCCCCCCCCCCCCCCCCCCCCCCCCCCCCCCCCCCCCCCCCCCCCCACCCCCCCCCCTGTGTACGCGCCTGGTCACGACTATGCATGACTGGTATCAGTAGGATATGCCCTTAACAACTTAACAATAGGAAATGTTGTTTTCACATAAAATACGACATGAAAACAATTCAGTGGTAATACAAATAAGTTTTCTTGACGTTCAGTATTTTTTGTTCACGCCAACTTTTGGACTAATGACATAGCTGTTACGCCCCCGCCACTCACGCAACTGAACAGACAGGTGACAATTTGAATTAGCTTTCATCAAAGAACGAACGTGCTCCGTTAAAAGGATGGCAGTATATTGGCTTCGATGCCTTACCATTAATATTCCTTGCAGATAGCGACAAGTATGACATTTTGCCTATGTAAATGGAAACTCAATCAGAAAAAGAAGGGAGAGACAAAACGATCGAAAGAGTGATTAATAATTTATAGACGTGTGACAAATAAAAAGAAGGGGGAGAGAGAGAGGGAGAGAGAGAGAGAGAGAGAGAGAGAGTAAGAAAGTGAGAGGGGGAAGAGGGAGAGAAAGAAAGTGTGAGAGAGAGAGAGAGAGAGAGAGAGAGAGAGAGATAGAGAGAGATTCATTTTCATGCTCAAGTTCATTTTATTCCAAACCACACAAAACATGATATAATCTTTTACATAAAAAAGAGACTGGTAATATAGCACATTAATCAACATATTAATATTGATTACATCATCAAATTAATGGTTTTTAGGACCCATGTAGAAGCTAAGTTTGTGAGCGGGGCCCTATAGTCAACAAATTACATACATTAACAACATAGCAAGGTAAATAAAGGAATGTAATGTAGATTCTATATATATATACAAGGGATGGAAAAAAAACTAAGCTACAGAATATAGAGCACAAAAAGTGATCACACACACACACGCGCGCACACACACAGCAAACACACTGATGAGTAGGTCCTTAGTGGTCAAAAAGCGTTTGAGAATGAAAAATTATTAAATTATGTCAGTCTTCCAAGTAGTTATGTTTTAGATAACCTTCTAAACCTAGAAAGATTTTATATCATCAGGCAACTGTTCCATTTTCATTATGCAAGAGATCAGAGTGATATTGTGACTTAATTAATTAATATGTTCCTATTGACATTACTGTTTACTAGGTTAATGCTTATTTTGCAAACAAGTATTATTTTTGTAACTGTTCTGTATAAATGTTATAAACGATGTACATAATTATGTTCATTCAGGGCCCCATGGAAGACCACTACTTGTTGGTGAATGGGCTACCCTGTCAAAAGATTAGAAATAAATAAATAAATAAATAAATAAATATTTGTTCTTGCAAAAGGTTGATAAATAAGACCCCTTTGACGTGTATTATAATTATAAATTTGTGAATTTTGACGGAATAAATCTTTTAACGTACATTCATGAGGCATAAACTGCCCAGCAAACACAAAACGTTTTTAGAACGTTTACAGAACGTTCTTATCAGGTTCCGTACGTCTTCGTCCATATTAACCGTTTAAAAAACGTTTATATAACGTCTAAGTTGGGACTTTACATTCGCTGCGGAGCTAGATCTTTTGAAGACGTTCAGAAAACGTTTTTTGGACGTTACAAATTAAACGTTCTTGGATAGGTCCTGTAAAACGTTTACAGAATGTTTTATTCAGACGTATTTTGTTGAATTTATTTTTATGTCCAAATAAATATTTCTTAAAAAATACCAGCTGGCGAAATTAGGCCACATGCATACGCATGGGGGGGGGGGGGGGGGGTCGAGGTATGTCAAACTGATGCACTCCTGTGGCGTAGCGATGTAGGGAGGCACGTGCCCCCAATAATTTTGAGGGAAAAAAAATAGAAAACATAAGGTGAAATTATTTGAAGAAAAAAAGAAATATATAAGGAGTGACCCCTCCCCCTCACATAATGTTTGTGCCCCCCCCCCCCCCCCCCCCCCAGCCCAATCAGTCCGACCGCGCTACATCATTTATTATGCTCCATTCAACCACGTGTATACAAAGTGCGTACGCACCGTATATAATAGTACCAATGTATAGGTCAGTGAATCGTATCCAGCGCGGCCGGTGCGGCGCGCTCGCTCCACCAGAGCTTGCCGCGCGCGTGTTTTAAACTGACTGACGAGTTGACTGCTTGATGACGTGACTTCGAGATTTCAAATAATCTGTTAGACTGCGACACCGAGGTAAGCGTTATTTTAACATTTTGATATCTGTAAGGAATTTAAGCTTTGTTTGATTGATTTTGAAGCATGTAAAATGAAATAAAATATTGATTATTTGCATTAAAACTAAAAGTACGGCAGACTCTATGTTGCATGTGCAGGCCGTTGAAACTTTCATTGCATTGACTGGTATGGTAATTGGGTAGGCTAGGGTATGTGCACACATAACTCCAGGAAGCTCCGATGCCGAACGGCGTCGGAGCTTCTTGGAGTTAGTGCATACATAGCTGCGAGTTAGTGCATACATAGCTGCATTACTATCCTGGTTGTGTGTATTAAAAGCTGTGCTATTGATACTCAACATTTCAAACACCACTGTACAAAACTCTTTCACTAAAAATCGGTACTTTAGTGACAATTGATGACACCTAGACTTTAAATAGCAGTAGTCTAGTCTAATAAAATACAATTTGTTCAACTTACCGATGTTATTTTGTTAGAAAGAACAATTTAGAAATTCAAATTGTTTGTCTAGATCTAGAGTAAAGTACCCGGTTTTCGGCCACTTAAGACAAAATCCTATTTATTGGACTCTTTACTTCCTATTTATTATCATTTCTTGTTCAAATCATGAAGCAAATATTATTATTATTTAAACAAAAAAAGATTCCCAAAAAAAAATCACGAATTGCCATGACAATATTCATTTCAATTTTCACTGTTTTGGAGCCGGTTATCGGCCGAGCGTTTCAGTTTACGGCCGCATGTACAAAGTCAATAGGAAGCGCTCGCGCGCGCCGTGCGTTTCTGCGCTGATGTATAGCAAAAGCGGGCGGAGCAGGTATCCCACGCCGGAGCTCCCGGGTGCTCGCCTGGCCGAATACAGGCACAGCGGTGATCGGAAGTTGGAATCTGAATTAGACAGACATATCGTGTGTGCGTCGCGGTGTGCGGCTGCATTGATTTAATACATGCGATGAGATACTTTTGAGCTTGCGACCAGCACAAAATCGGGCTCTATATCTGAAAAATACTTGAAATAAAGCTCATTTTATGGTACCCATATTTCTTACATACACGCGTAAGAAACTCGATTTTTCAGATTTGGGTAGCGGGACCGCCGATTACATCGCTAAAATGTGATATTTTAGGATATATTTTTCATTGCAAATGTGGTTCTTCAGTGACACTGGCATGATATGGTATGTGTGGGATATGTGTTATGCTATTATGCGATGTATTTTAAAGTGATTTTACCATGTATCCAACCAATTGGCCGAAAACCGGAGCTGACCGATTACCGGGTACTTTACTCTACTGTCAAAATTTGCTTACAGCCGCATCGGCATGATTGTATTATGTGTGTATTGACTATTCCTTTTGAGCAAATGCTGCCTAAAAGTATTAACACGTGCTAGAGGTCAATACGCATAATAGCATGGACTTTTTGCTGGAGTGGGTATGTGCGCATGGCTCGTTACATTACATGGTAATCGGATGATTAAAACAGTTGAGTTGTTAACTTTGCTGTCTGGAAAAATCGTGGAAAGTTCCCATCGGGATTTAAAATGCTATTTCGTGAAGAAAATAAGTCCCTCGACTACCAGCTCATTTCGCGACTTATTTACTCTTCCCTCAATAGCATTTAAAATCCCAGTGGAACATTCCATGCTTTTCCCTCCACCACCATTTAGCAACTTTATATTATCCCACCCCCTATTACAACAGGCTCCCCAAACCACCTTTTTTGTATGGAAATTGTTTTTTTAGAAATATCGCGACCTAGATCTATAGGCCTATCTTGTTCTCAATTTCGTCTCTTTAAAAAAAATCTTTTTAGTTCAGATGACACATTATTTAAAGAAATTAATTTCCAATAACGTAGATTAATAACTTAAGGATTGATTTGTTTTATTTTTACATACAGGCAACTATGTGAAAGCGCAAAAGCATCGCCAGGAAGGCAGAGGACACGTCAAACCTGGTATCGGAAGATGATGCTGTGTAGAAGCGAAAGAGACGTCTTCCCAGAGATTTAGCAAATCTTCTAGTGATTCCGGAATTGACGCTGGTAAGTATTTGTCTCTTGATGGTTGGTAGTGCTTGGTTCGGCCAGAGACGTATAATTTACATCTTATTTCTTGTTTTCTTCAAAATCCGACAGATGAAAACCTAATATAATTTATTTGGGATAGCTAGACCTGCTTTGTGTCCCAGCCATGCAAAATGATGATTAATAGATGTGGCACCATTCTGGCAAAACTGGAAATTAATTTGTAATCTAGGCATAAATTTCGGACAAGAAGTTTGCATTACCCAAAAGTTTGTTCAGTTTATGAGAATTCTTGTCGTGTCTTGATATCCCTTTTAACATCTGCAATGTGTCTCTACTTTTCAGATCTTGAATCGGTTAGGACCAAAGAAAACAACATGTACGCGGAGGAACGATTAAGGCTGTGGCAGCAGAGGTACCAATGCCGAAACTGAATGCGAAGTCCAAGTCCACATCACATTTTTCAGTTCCAACCCACAACTCCAGCAAGGGCTCGGGCTTCGGAAAGTAAGTTTTTTTCAGAAATTCAGATAGCATTTCACAAACGAAAGTTTCTGAGGCATGGGTATAGTTTTCTTACAGAAGAGTCGCTTTTAAATCCTTACAGTATGTATACTTTGTTGGAAGCGCTGCACAGGTGTCGTCTTTGAAGCTGGGTGATATATTCCTGAAGTGACTAAATTTTTCAGCTATCAAACATATCTCGCCAAAATATCCTATTAATTTGCTGTCAAACTTTTTAATGACTTGAACTGTTATTATAATGTATTTTATGTGTCTGTTTTTTCTTCTCAGGCAATTTTCAAGTGCAGGTACTGTGTACGCTGCAGAGGCTGGAGGAAGGGCAGCAGCAGCTGAAGCAGTTGGTACAAAAACTGCTTTTGTCCAAATCGAGAGCGGCCGTTGATGTGGAAGACCTGAGGGAGCCGTTTACCAAACCAGTGAACACCAAATTTTCATTCAAGGTAGATTAAGATACCTTCATTCAGGGGCAATGCAAAAATCCTAAAACTCGTATTGAAACCAAATTTGACCATTTCAGCTAATAATGGAGAAACTTTATCAGCGACATAACAGTTTTGTTGGTGCATCTTTTTTAATTTAATTGCCATCATCTTGTTGAGAATGCAAGACAAAGTTGTATAGGTCTGTAAATTTACTACTTTTTGTAAGGATGCTGAAACCGATGGCCCGAATTCACAAAGGAGGTTTGAGCTCAAACCTTGGTTTTCGTACGTCATATGACGCGTTTTACGCGTTTTTTACAAACCTGGTTTGTAAAGAACAAAAGGAGGTTTGGCGAAACAAAAGGAGGTTTGAGCTCAAACCTTGGTCTGAGCTCAAACCTTGCTTTGTGAATTCGGGCCAATGTGTGTGCTGCCAAACTCTCTTATAACCTTGTCTTCTATATTCATAGACCCTTAAATTTGAGTATTTATATTTGCCTGTTAATAATTCATATCAACTCAATTCTATCAGTTTATTGTAAAAAGCTTTTTGTAGATTGTTCATGTGTTTTGTGTTGATTTTATATTTGAAGTAAGATGCAAGGCTTCTGGGAAATCTTAACCTGCCCACTAAATCTTTGGTCGATCAAAAGGACAATTTTTTACTGGGATTTAAAGGGGAAATCTACCCTAGAAATTTCACTGCTTCAATCAAAGGAGACAAATTTGAACAAAATTAAAAATAAGAAATGGGCAAAACTCGGTAAGGAAACTACTCTTTTTTTTACATTTTCTAGTAAATTACTCCCGGCTATTCAAATTGACAATGCTGATGACATCTTGAGTAGCTCTAAATTCACTTTGTGCACAAAATTTCACATTTTCTAACCCCCCATAGTCAAAGCATGTTGTGTAGAAAGCTACTCGTCATTAGTAATCTGAACATACTCTGATTAAAAGCTGTGGAAATGTGTAACTTTAAGGAAAATTTAGAAAATATGAAATTTTGAGTACAAAGTTGATGGATAGCTACTCACAGTGGTGTCATCAGTGTTGCCAATTTGTAAAGCTGAAACGAGTGTAGTTTCCTTGTTTTTTTTGGCCGTACTTTCACTTGAAATGTGACTTCTCAAAATAGTCACATTTTTATCACTTGTAGAAGTTGATGAGAAAGTAAATACATGTACTCTTTGAATAGTTATAATTTGCACCGGATGATGAAGCTAATCCTGGGTGGAGGCACATAGCTAAATCGGTTATTCACATGTATTTAATGATAATTTGTGACATTTTGTTAAAAGGTTCTGGTGAATTTGATATAGTACACAAAAAATTCAATCCACTATTTGGTTTTACAAAGATCAAGACTTATTATAGAAAGATTTCTTAATCATTTGCTGGGGCATCGTTTTGGCATGAATTGCCAGGTTCTGTAAATAACTCAAATTGCTTTTATAAAGTGTGTTACCAAAGTTGCTATATGTGTGCTGCCAAATTATTGACACTATTCAAAGTATTCATTTTATCTTGCCTTGTTTATTCATAGAGACATAGACCCGTGAATTATATGAGTATTCATATTTGCCAGTTAATGAGGCATATCTTCAACTCATCTATCATTTTCTTATGTTTTATTTTTTAGATTGTTCATGTGTTATGTATCTATAGTTTTAAAGGGATAGTTTAGTATTGGTCAAACTTAACTTTAAAACCAAAACCTGCACCATCACGGTGCAAAGTAATAATTACAAACGGCCAAGTAAAGCCCCTGTTATTATTCAAAATGACCCGTTACTTTCAGTTTCTGCATTTAATGTTTGTTAAAATAATAATTAAATAAATATCTATATCAATTGCTTTTTAAAGAACTGTTCAGATTTGTTTTCTTCAAAGTAGTCTTCAAGCATTTTTAATATTTTGAATACAAATATATTTATGGATATTTCAGCCGTTTATGAATCGATATTGATCAAATAACAATTTATTCTGAATATTAGAATTGTATGTTCTTTCGGGGGCACTTCGGGAAATACCAATACTCTTTTTCAAATATACATGATGTACTGTATTGCCAAGCCTTTGTACATATTTTGTAAATATGTTTGATAATAAATTCATAAAATCAATCAAATACATGTGTGACCTAGCGTTTATTAAAAATTCACTGTATATTGGACGTTCTCAAAAGTTTTTCTGAACGTTCTTAAAACGTTTCCAGGACATTCTAGACGTTCTTAAAAGGTTTTCTGAACGTTCTCAAAACGTTTCCAGGACGTTCTAGACGTTCGTAAAAGGTTTTCTAAACGTTTTCAAAACGTTTCCAGTACATTCTACACGTTCTTAAAAGGTTCTCTTGGACGTTATAGACGTTCTTTAAACGTCCTGGAAACGTTCGAGACGTTTTTAAAAGGTTTTCCGGACGTTTTTAAGGTTCTTAAAACGTTCTTAAAACGTCCCAAACGTTCCGACAGGTTTTCTGTAGGTCCTTTCACTTGAAAGCAAATCTATAAAAGGTTTTTTATTGGTTCTAAAAACGTTTAGAAAACGTTCAAAAAACGTCCAGTTGGAACGTTCCAAAAGACGTCCAAAACCTACCACAAATGGACGTCTTTAGAACGTTTTCACAAAACGTTTAGGAAACCAATTTGGAACCTTTTTAGAACGTTCAGAAAACGTCCGATGTTAGTTGGGTGAAGTTTAAACATAAACAAGTATATACGCAATTGAACGACACAAGTCCACTTACAGAGGGTAAGAGCACATTTAATCAACAATATAACCATTGACAAGATAACATTAAAAAAAACATTTAACCTTTCCCCCCCCCCCCCCCCCCCCCCCCCCCCCCCCCCCCCCCCCCCCCCCCCCCCCCCCCAAAAAAAAATAGGGGGGGAATTGTGGCTTTGTGTATGTATATAGCACCAGGAAAAGAATATTTTATACACACATACACACCATCAAGACAAATCGGTATTAACCGGAGCTCTATGGGGAGCACTCAACTCCCTGCTAACTAGCCTAGCGGTGAATGAATACGGAATATATACCAACATTTTCCCTCTCTATCGCCGAAGCCCGGTTAGCTCAGTCGGTAGAGCATCTGACTTTTAATCAGAGGGTCGCGGGTTCAAGTCCCTCATCGGGCGAGAGTATACTTTTTTGCATTTGTTATAAATTCCTTTTTTTTTTTCTTTCATGAATACCAACAACATTGTATCTTTTATTTTGTTTAATCCTGAATTTCTTTTTGCTTTTATTCTGGAGGAAACGAGATTTCTGTACTTGTTTGTCCATACGGAAACGACATAAGAAGCGCGTCAAGCTACATTACAGTCCCACATGCTGATATTCCTGTGAGCTATATGCTAATGGTGTACCAACCAAGCAAGTGACGTGCTGTCGACGTGGACATGCTCCTTATGGCTTTTAATTTTAAAAGTCTTTGAATGTGTTCAAGAATTCTGAATAAATAGTATAAAAACACGATAACTTGGCTTGGAAATCAACAGGAAACAGAGCAAACAGTGTCTATTTCATCGTCGTAGGTAAGTATTTCAACTTGTTATATCATCAAACTTGTCAACACAACAGTCAACAGTCAATACGCATTCATCATTGCCATTTCAAAAAGACATTAGTAATCATGCAGTACTAATGGCGGCGGCTACTAATGCTCTGCTGGAGTGATTAAACTAAGACTTAACTAGCTTGTTCCTTAAAATATAAATCTTTTACTAGGTAGCTGTTCATGATTTAAATTTACTAACTGGTACTGTGTAAGTACGAGAATCATTTTGACCACTTTGCTCTAAAGTTTTTCCTGGTGCACTGTGACTGTGAGAAAAGGTCGAGAACAAGTGTCAATGAAAAAAATTATTGTTTTTATCTTAAAACCAATTTATGTACACTGTATAGATCTAGACTACAACAAAAAGTATACTATATTCTGCACATAAGGCCTATATGCCTTACAATGTAGATCTAGATGGTAGTTGTAATACATTGTTTATTGGATTTTTGAATTTTGTTGATTTGATTGAATATTGATGTGTGTGTGTATTTTTGACATATAATTTCAATCATTAATGATTAACTGTGACATGTATATTGTAATGGATATTTAAATTTATATTGGTATTCATGTTGATGATCAAAGTTTCAGGACTCAAAACAACTTTTTGATGGGGGGGGGGGGGGGGGGTGAACGTGAACGTACCCTGGGTATACTAGGCAACGAATTGCATAGTTGTATTCAGTTGATGAGTCTACCAGTGTTTCAGTATAACTTTGACAATGGACAGTTCTTATTTCTTTTCAATCTGCAGACCATATCTGAGCATCATCATGGCAAAAAGCGACAGAGATCAACAAGCAGGTCAGATTTTTGGGAGCAGACAACATGAGCTGAAACTTGGCAAAAGCTTTCAAGAAGACAACAGCTGTGGATTCCATACCATAAGATGTGAGACATAAACAATGTGTGAATCATCATATTTTTGTCTCATATGATTGCCTTCTTCGGTTGTAATTTCCACCTAGTCCTAACCTATTTCTTTTGTTTTTATTAGTTTTATGTGTTATGCATGTTAAAATGTGTCGAGTTTGAATAGTTTGATCTAGGTTGTTTCAGGCACTTGTGATGTAAAATAATGAGGAAAATCTTCTTTTCCCGTCTTCTTCTTCGTCGTCTTCTTTTCCTTCTTTGTCTTCTTCTTTTCCTTCTTTGTCTTCTTCTTTTTCTTCTTTTTCTTCTTCTTTTCCTTCTTTGTCTTCTTCTTTTTCTTCTTTGTCTTCTTCTTTTTCTTCTTTTTCTTCTTCTTCTTATGCTTCTTCTTCTTCTTCTTCTTTTGTTTACCTTTTCAAAATTTAAATTAAGATGCCTTTAAAATATAAGATTGCCCAGTCTTTTAAAGGCACACTGTCCTACTTGTAGCTACTTGCTCCCTCTATATAGAAAACTTCCCAAATCGGTGCCTGTTGGTCCCCCATGATCCTCTTTTTCTTATGTTAAATGAGAGCTGAGTTAATGAGATAGCCACCTGTCACAGTGACCTCGCTGGCTCGCTGTGTGGTCTAATCCCTTCTGGCTGAAGTAGTAAAGCCTACCTTTAAACAGTTTTTACTTATTAAAACTCTTTATTTAAGATCTCTGTAATATTGAAATTTCCAGAGATCTTTTATCTAGCTTTTTCAGAGCTATTCACTTACCACACTCAGACATATTTTATTGTTTCTCTTTTACTATATTATTTTACAACATTCTTTGCTCATCTACCCTTTCTCCTGTTAGATGACTTCAAGCCAGCATCAGTAGATTATTCAAGAGAGGCTGCACTAGATGTGGGAGAAAGCAATGAAGTCAACATTACATTCCCAAATGCAGAGGTTAGGGTTTTCAGTGTAAAACATCTTTGTTGTTGTTGTTGTTGCTGTGTATTTTTAAGTTTGCAGTTGTACAATGAATTATTTTATTTTTTGCATTTAATTTGTTTTTGCTTTGTAATATTTCTTCAGGGCCCCATTTCACAAAACTTGTCATCAGTGACAAATGACAATTTTTGTTATAAGCTACTGAAATCCTTGCTTCTGATTGGTTATCAGCACATTTGTCACTCATTTTTGTCATTTGTCATTGAAAAAAGGCTTTGTGAAACGGTATAAAACCGGTATGCAAATTCTGATACTTTTTTTTCTTCTAGAACAAGGGTAGTACAGTATTTGGTGGATCTAAGAAACCATATCAGAAGGAATGCGTGCTGATCTTTGATCATCGGACTGGAGAGTTTACACTTGAACGCCTCAGCTGTAACATTCAGGTCAAGAGACTGAGGTGAGTTTCAAATCTTGATGTGTCCTGAGGCTGAGATAGTAGGGACTTTTAGATTTGCACGTCGACATAGTGGACTGCTACGTGTGGCGTCCTTTTAAGGCAGTGACTTCCTTTTAAGGCACTGCCAGTGCTTTAAAAGGAGGTCACACGTAGCAGTCCACTATGTCAAAGGGCAAATCTACAAGTCCCTAGGAGTAAGCGTAAATATATTCTGTATTCCTTTACGGGGAATTCCATAAATTAAGGACCCACTTTGTGACATTTTTGGTGTCCCACTTACATATTACAGGAACCCACACGTATTTGTGGCTCTGAGTAAAGACTTAAATAGTGGAGTAAACAGTTTTCTTTATAATTGAAAGTGTTTTTGTGACCCTCAATATATTCACATTGTCATATAAGGGCAATCCAACCTTTGCAATTAAATTGTATGAAAGCAAAAAAACAAGAGAAACAGATTGTTGAAAGTTTGAAATAATTCTGACCAATGATAAGAGAGTTGTGAATGTTTGAAATATGCGAATCTCAAGTTGGCAATTTGGTCAGTGGAGAGTGACATAGACACGGACATAGCTACCCTATTTATTGAGTTAAAAAATATCATTAATTTCTGTTTTTTCTCCTAAGTGCCTTCTCCCTTGGGTCAGTAGTAAGCAGTATTTTTCATGGATAGCATTGTATTGTTTTAGAGTCCTCTAAAAGAAAAGAGTCTACTGAGTCAAAATACATTTTTTAAATTTAAATTTAAATCATTTTGTATATTGAAACAAACAGGACAGTTGTTTGACAACACTAAGACACTACGTCTTAGTAACTTTATAATAACCTACAGTGTATTCATCCAATTTGAAGAGTCCATACGCGTAGTGACTACAACTTTCAAACATTCATTACTTTCTAATTTTTGCCCGATATGCTCAAACTTTCACCAGTCTGTTGCTCTAATTTTTCTGCTTGAAATTTCCTTAAAATTTATGATATTGTCTTGGATGGTATCACTTGAATTCTCACTTCTTATGTCTTTGTGTTTGTATTCAAGACAAGAGGGAACAAGCAAAGCCCAGAAGCCTCCTAAAGGCCAACAAGCGTCGGGCTCCAAGAGCTCGCCCAACCCTCGATCAAGCAGCCAAGCATCCTCAAAAAGCTCCCCTAACCCTCGATCAAGCAGCCAAGCGTCCGGCTCCAAGAGTTCTCCCAACCCTCGATCAAACAGCCAAGGCAACAAGAAGAAAGACACTCCTCTCAACTCACCGGCTCAACAAGCTGAAAGAAGAGGTAATTGGTGTCATTATACTTCCAATTTCATAGATACATTGTAAACCTAGTTAATTCAATTCAAATTATTCTAATATTGACTGCTTATGTTTCAGGTCACAGTTGAAAGTATTCTTGGTTAATCTCGAGACTGCAATATGCCCCTTGACTTTGTCTCATGTCTCGGTATAATTTTGATATCCTCTTGGGCAATAGTTTTAACCATTTTAACCCTGCCCCTTGAAGAAGTCAGTATTTGTAGAATGCGTAAGCTAAAATTTCAAGTATATTAGACTTTTCATAAATTCTACATCAGGAACAAGAAATCTCCTTGATAATAGATAATATGATACATTTTGAATCAACATTTCATGCCTTTTAAAATAATTTTTACAAAATATTTTAAAGGATGCTAATGGCTTCCCATAATTGTTAAGTCCAACTTAGAGATAACTTGAACTTAGGATCTTTGTGAAACACTCCCCATGACTTGTATCAATCCTATGTATTATCCCTCAATATTTTTCTGATGCAGTTGAAAGGTCACCAGCACCCCAGCCGTCCCCTCTCGCCGCTTCCGAGCCTTCCCCTGCCCCACCCAGTGTACCTAGCGTCGTGGACAGAGAGGCAGACTCGTCGGACAGCTACATGTCGGCCAGTGATAGTGATGACGATAGCAGTAGTAGCAGTGGAAGCAGTTCAAGCGACAATGATGAGGATGATGATGACGGTGACAGGGATGCAGGAGCTAGGAGGATTGAACAAGCAACAGAGAGAGGTAGCCTTGATAAAGCCAGTCCATTTCGTATGGGGGGGGGGGGGTAGTTTTTGGACTAAGTAGAGGTGTCATGGTTGAGTGCATATGTCACCGGACTGTGGATCACAAGGACCGTGGTTCAAATACCGCCGCGGCACTAATGTCCTTTGGCAAGACATTGATCTACATTTGCCACTCTCCACCCAGGTGTTAAATGGTTAACCGGTAGGATGCGAAAGTTAATGTGGTTAGTAAAAAATGACGCCTGGCTGGAATGCTCCCCAGGGAGTGAAGAATATTCATATATTGTATCAGGTTAGCCTGAATTCGATGACCGGGTAATAATATATATACCTGTAAACCGCTTTGAGAGGGCCTGTGGTCCTAAAATGAGCTATATAAGAACAAACTATTATTATTATATTATCATTAACTAGTCTTCAAAATATGTTCCTACGATTTTAGATTATTATTAATTTTATCAAGAAACCAGATACTGCACCTGATACCTTATGTCCATGAGTGTTCTCATTGAGACAACTGGCTGCCCAGCAAGCCTTTGATAAAGCAGTGTGACTGGGAATAGGGGTTTATTATAGACCTGAAATTCATATCTGTCTGGTGTATTCTCACTATCAATCTTATTTTTCTTTTGCTCCAGTTTCCAGTAAATTGTCACCAGCCCAGCCAAGTCCAGTGTCAAGACTACTGAACGTCAGCCCTTTATTAACTCTCAGTAAGTATCTTAATGATTGTATGTTGTCCCTTCGGGTTCTCAGGTGGAGAGCTACATGTACCTTAACTGTTATTTTCATTCATATTAAAGAATAAAGAATGTAGCCAACACCAATCATGTATTCAAGTCGCTTGTTCATACTTTAAGTTTTTTCACCGTGCCTGGCCTTGCACTTGCACGAGATACATGTAGGTTTGCTACCATGGTTAACAATGAATTTGAGTTCTGGTCATACGATTGCATAATTGTGAAAGAAACGTTGTGGAATCGATCAGAAAAGGATGATCATCTAACATATAAGTATTGGTGTGTACTGCAAGGTTCTGGAATCATCAAAATGATAAAAAATTTGGCCCAGTCTTGGTAAAGTTACAAGCACTGTACACTCTACACGAACAACATGTGGCATACAAATCTGTCCCAATTTTGTATGATTATACATGCCATATTCAGAATACTAAGGCATTTGAAGAGCTATGCTTTTGAGGCAACATATTTTATCTGATGTTCTACCACACTTGTATGATACAATGATAATGCTCACAAATTATTTTTCACCTCTTCCAAGAACTCAACCTTCTCTTTAAACTGACTGTTTGTCATCTCACTCTTTGTTTCTGCAGGTGAGGATCTTCAGCTGAGTGAATCTGGTAGTGACAGTGATAGTGACTGATCCAGGGAGTATATCAGAGATCTATCCGCTTCCATTATATGTGCAATTATTTTCTTACTCATTTAACCATTAATAAGTATCTTGTAAGGCTCATCTATACATGAGGCAGTAAAAGACAGCATTTTTTTTTTTAATTGTGACTTACCGGTAGACGTAAATGCTTAAAGATTACACACAACGTGAGGCTGTGCACAGGAGGTAGCCAATGGCAGACCTGTATTCAAGTCACATGTTTATGTCTTCTTCTTATTATTGAATTCCTCCGCTTGGCAAAGAGCCATGCATGAGCACGGGTTATCGGGAAACAGCAGCACTGTCTTATCATCCCAACTTGCCATTTACTTACAATGAAAAATAAAGGAATTTCCTGTGTCATGCGTGAACAAGTCGGTAGATATATACAAATGTACATTATTTTAAATGAAGTATAAGTGGTACATTTCATTTGGGAGACTGTGAATTGTAAGTTTTCAGGGTTACACCATGTAATTCTTTCAAAGGAATGAGATCCCTGGAAAGGCTTGTGATCTCCACTACTAAAGAGCTCTTGGCTATTAATGTTGCGATCAGTATACTCTGATCGTCTTCAGGAGAATGGCTTTTGAGAACATTTAGAACTAATAGCTCTTAGCAGAGCTCTCCAGCCCTTTTCAGGGCTTTAGTCCCCTTTAAAGAATGACATGGTGTAACCCTGAAACTTTACTTACAACTTAAATATACATTGTTATCAAATGACCTGAAGCATGTCCTGCAGTGCTGCTCCTGTTTGGCCAATAGGTAGGTTTATATTGCTTATTTACAAACATATTAATGTCATTGACTCTGTGGTCCAAACATTGTCAGGTTAGTAGTGGATACCAAAATGGATTTTAAACTGATTGTTTTCTTAACTTTTTTTTTTTAATTACCTAAAGGGCATGAGGGAAGAGATCTAGTCACTCTGAACTTTTGCAAAGGGGTTAGTCAAAGATTTCAGGGCAATATGGCCCCAAGTCTTGCACATTATTTGATTTAGGACACTTCTGCAGGATGCATTATTGCTACAGTCCAACAGACGGGATTGTTGTAGTATGTAGAGTATTTATCCTCGGTGGATTTTTCCCTCCACAGCTCTGAGACAACCAATTAAAGGGATAGTTGAGTTCTGTTTTCAGATCGAAAATGCCTTCAAAGTGCATGGTTATTGCTCTTATTCTTATCTATGACATTTCTAGTGACCTTTTAAGACCTAAAATTGCTAAGAAGGTAATTTTAGACCCCAAAATGTTTGAAATTTAGGCAATATGATCATACCAATTCAGCTCCACTTTTAAAAAAATATGGTGACCGTTAATTAATTAATTGATAATAACAATACATGGGCCAGCTGATTGTGCGTAATATAACCAACACGAAATAGCCAACAAAAAAGCCAACATCGGCGTTGGCTGAAATAAAACGTAAAAGGCGCTATTTTGTTTTTTCAACGGCTTTCAACGGCTGGTTCAAAATATCTAATATTTGTGGTGGTACACAAGTATTAGAAATCGTTATATTTATGGATATTTCAGCCGTCTCTGACCTGATTTTGATCAAAGAAATATGATTTTGTCATTTATATTGTATGTTCTTTCAAATTTGACGGTCAGTTTTCCATTGTCTCACAAAAAAATCATTTTGTGTAGCGCCCTCTGCAACAGAACTCAACTATCCCTTTAATCCAGAATATATAAGGTTGAAGATAGTCGAATAATTTTGTTTAAAGCAGAAAGGATTTTGTTATGTTCCGGAATATTTCATGCATGCATTCCAGTCAAAAGTTGTCCAAATCTCAGTTGCTTGTCAGAGGTCTGTAAGACCAACAGCTTATAAATGCAGTATGTGGGTAATCAATAGAATAGTTTATCATGGCTGCATGTAAGCAGGAGTCTCTCATCTTGCACATGGCTCCCTTCATGGTGACGGGAACAAGCGAAGGGGATTTCAGAAAAAAAGTTGAGAAGGTTACTGGCAAGATACAATGCATAAAATCAACCATTTTCGTAATATAATTAAATATCATGCACAGATCTTTGTTACAAATTAATTCATATAGAAAATAAGAGAAGGAAACCTTGTACTACCAATTTTAGTACTTTAGTCTATCACAAACTGTTTCTTAATCTTGCCAAAATTATTCATCTTGCTAGGAGGGCAGAGAGTGTTTTTTAAAAATAATTTGCTTACATCTTTCTAGATGAATAGTTGAATCCCTAATTTAAATATGATCGCTACGACTTCAAAGAAATCAACTCAAAGTCATTTCAGTACCCTATCTGTATTACCTGAAGCAATCGGGTTCAAATTATGTACATAGAAAAGATGGTGCACACAAGGCTGATGAATTTGACTTCAGTTGATTTTGGAAATTCATTGTGATTGCATTATTGGTCAAATATGTTTTGAACCACGTACATTCTGTGTGTCTTTATTATGATTATGGTTATTAATAAATTGATGATATTGAGCATATATGTAATTATGATATATTTGTAACCATATTGAATGGAGGGATTTTTGTATAAAGAACTCTTTGTTGAGCCTTTTTATTCTGTATTTTCAAAGTTCTCAATATTTACAGAAGACAGTTAGATCCTGTATTTGGAATTCAATTCAATTCAATTCAGAACTTTATTTCAGACTCAACTACACAAGGCAGAGGTCCATAAAACATATGTTACATAGATATATGCATGAGCATTGGCATATATACTCTTGTTTTGTAATCAAGAAGCTTACTGTAAATTGCAGGAAAATAATAAATCTTATCTCATTTGAGTAAAATGTGTTTCATTCCATTTGATTCATTTCCTCTCACTAATGAATAGTTATGGATAACTTGTTTTTCAAACATAAATAGAAGCAGATAAAGAGAGTATGATAGCTGATGGTGATAGTATGTTGGGAGTATCGAGCTGATACAGAAGAAACAAGTATTTATCAGATAAAGTAATTACAGATCGAACAGATGATGAGAATATTTGAGAGGAGGGAGTGTAATAGTACATGAAGAATGGAAAGAGTAGATAACTAAAAGACGTGTATATCATCTGTTCAGAGCCAGAATTATAGGGATCGATGGGTTAACTCTTATGGCGCCAATTAAACAGATGATACAGTGATAGCAAATGAATATATAGCAGATGAGAGACTATAGGACAGAATGTTGGGAATATAAATCAAGATATCTTTTGAAAGAAAAAAAATAAAGAGAGAGAGAGAGAGAGAGAGAGAGAGAGAGAGAGAGAGAGAGAGAGAGAGAGAGAGAGAGAAAGATGGAAATAAATACACCGTTAGATCAAAGATAATGGTGACGTAAGTGTGTTCAGCGGATGGCCTGTGCATGTGTAGTCGACAGATCAGATCAAGTGGATACGCAGTACAACAGCCGGAGAGTAAAGTGAAAAAGGAGATCGGGATCATACGAGGTGAATTACGATTTTTGTTTACATTTAGACGAGATTTAGGAGATTAGTGTAAAATTATAACTTTGAATTATTGTTTCATGCATTTGAATCAAGTAGATCCATTTTCTAATCTTTGTTTTAATCAATTAATTTATCGGCATTCATCGCTAAAAATCACGCGCGGAAGTCGTGGTAGATTCTACGGTACCGCTACGTAGCCACAGGGAGAGCAGCAGCGGTGAACTTTGACAAGCCGAGTGTAGGCTCCGCTGCATGCATGCATGCTCTGCCTCTCATGATAGGATCTGCAGCCAGCGGAGCGGAGTAGAGACCATGCACTCTACAGCTCCAATCAGTGCACTAAGCTCACCTGTGTAGACAGAGTGAGAAGGGCGCTTGTGTACTTTTGTATCCATTTTCGACCCGTACCTTCCTACTAGTACTTGTAGTAGATCTAGAGTCTAACTTAGACCTAACGTTAGGACTCTAGATCTACTCAAACTAGATCTAGACTCTAGATCTAGTCAAACATAACATTAACAAAAGTCAATTACTAGACTAGACCCTAAATCTTCATCAATTGTTCAAATATTCAATGCCTGGTTATGAATTAAAAGTTGTTATCTTTTTTTCTAGCCTGTTTCGTGTCAATTTTCTTATCTCTTTCGGAGTATTTTTCCTAAAAACCAGTATTATAGAGTAAAGGAGCCGGTTTTCGGCCACTTAAGACAAAATCCTATTTTTTGGACCCTTTACTTCCTATTTATTGGACCCTTTAGATCTACTTCCTATTTAGTATCATTTTTTGTTCAAATCATGAAGCAAATATTATTATTATTTAAAGGTGAAATTCAAAGAAAATCACAAATAGGGTCTAGATCTATGTCAACTAATGTATCACTAGAAACTGGTAAGCTAACAGATGGCCATCGTACAAGTTTGAGGTCAGCTACATATCGGGTGATTTATAAAAATAAAAATACAACCACCTCCATAGCAGCTGGGATATACGAGAGATTCGCCAGAAAAATAACGATATTTTAATGACGTCACAACAGGGACCAATACTGCCCAAGCAGACGACATCCCATAAAGAATGAACATAATTGCAAAGCTATTATTTGTCAAATTATAATGAGTTTAGTGTATATAAATGTACTGGCACGTCAAACCGATCAAAAGGGGACATGACCCGATTCTGATAACTAAAATCTTTTGCTTGTAAATACACAGGATAGGGGTTAATTAACAATCAAAGAAACCAGACTTTCAAATTGAAAAGCCCCCGGATTAATATTAAGGACGGCATTTGTTCCCTCTTAAAACGCCGAACATACCGCGGTGTCTGCAGCTGAATATACAATGGCGTCTTATTTTGTTTACAAGCGACAGATTCCTTTATTTTTGTATCGCTGCATTTGTCATCAAAATAAAACCATGCGCGGGGTTTAGAGTGAGGCAATATATTATACATTTAGCCTGACGGTAGTGAAGTAAGAGAAAGAACTCAAGAGAAGATGAAAACACAGGCACTGAAAATGTGTGAGATGTCATGGGACATCGTCTGCTTGTGCAAATCATGTCCCTGCTGTGATCTCACACATCTCAGCAGCGTTTGGAGAGCTATTCAGGTGCTATGCCGGGGCTGTATTTAAGCGTTTTGTAATTTATAATAATCATTACTTCGAATGTTTCCAAGCATTGAATTTTGATAACCTTGTCGAATCAAAGTTTCAACTTTGCAATAATGAAAATAAAGCTAGATTTAAAATCAATGAATATCTACTTTAAACAAAACAAGAATCCCAGAAAAAAATCACGAATTGCCATGACAATATTCATTTCAATTTTCACTGTTTCGGAGTCAGTTTTCGGCATAGCGTACCAGTTTTCGGCCGCAGGTACAAAGTCAATAGGAATCGCGCGCACGCGCCGTGCGTTTCCGCGCTGATCTATAGCATTAGCGGACGGAGCAGATATCCCACGCCGGAGCTCCCCGGAGCTTGCCAGGCCGAAAACTAGTACTGCGGTGATCGGATATTGGAATCTGAATTAGACAGAGATATCGTGTGTGCGTGCGGTGTGCGGCTGCATTGATTTAATACATGCGGTGAGATACTTTTGAGCTTGCGACTAGCACACAATCGGGCTCTAAATCTGAAAAATACTTGATATAAAGCTCATTTTATGGTACCCATATTTCTTACAGACACGCGTAAGATACTCGATTTTTCAGATTCGGGTAGCGGGACCGCCGATTACATCGCTAAAATGTGATATTTTAGGATTTATTTTTCATTGCAAATGTGGTTCTTCAGTGACACTGGCATGGTATGGTATGTGTGGGATATGTGTTATGCTATTATGCGATGTATTTTAGAGGGATTTTACCTAGCATCCAACCAATCGGCCGAAAACTGGAGCTGGCCGATTACCGGCTCCTTTACTCTATAAGGCTATACACTTTCTCACAGGTGTCACAGCAATCCTCTGCACAATTGCATACCGTAGTTGTAGAGACTGACGAAGGGGTGCGGGTGGGCCTGCGTGCGTGAAGTAAGCGATCGTAATAATGTGGACTACTAGCTACTTACATGAATTTAATTTACATTGTAGTGTGTATCTAGTTCTTTTTCATGTTCAACTTTTGTATCTCCAGACTTGACCTTTGAACCCCAATGAGCTTCTTGGACGACGTCTCCTCGTTCTCAAAGGGAGCTCTGAAGAGTGTAGAAACCTGTGTGAGACGAGAAGACGAGACCCGTGTCTTGGAGGCGCGGAATGCATCTGGAGGGTTTTCCGTCTTGACAGACAAAAAGCCGGAAAGCAGCGCGGGATCAGACATGGAGTATGGATTCGTTCCAGACTACGAGCCAGACCTGCAGATCGTGCAAGTCAGGCCATATCTATACATGTGTAAGTATGATTTTTGCAAAACCATTCAGTTGCCTTCATTTGAATGAACTAGGGCAAATGTTTGATGTTATTATTTTAACCAATTACTTTGTCATCTTCAAGTGCTAATGTTTAAATTGTGCATTCTAAAAAATGTATTAAAAATTAAAGTTTAAAGTAAAGAATTGTCCTATTTCTTTGTTGTTTAAAACATAATATAGAGAAATTACTTCTTTTTTTCCTATCACTTTAAATCAGTTTATGACACAACTATGACAAACTAGTTTTTTACCATTGCATATTTGGAACAAATTTATCACTCTGTATTTGTTTGTTTTAGTCATCTTTCCATTGATTTATAAGACTCTGACTTTATCTCTCACAGCAAACAATACTTAAATTTGATAGCACCTATGATGGATATGGACTTAGAAATTATTTTTTTATTTTATTTAAATAGTATTGCTGTGAGCTGGATACCAAATAAATTATATTTACAGATAAATGTTTGACTGCCCCACAAAAAAAAATCACAATCCTTTTTAATAAACAACATTGGGGATCATTCTCATCAAGCCAATTTTGGCTTTCATGATTCCCCACTTCCTTTTATCTTATGTTGACAATGAACAAACATGTACATATACTTATGATGTTATTTAAAAGAAAGTGAAATAAATAAATGAAATACTTCTCATTCTGTGACTAAGTGTATTTGAAGAGCTTAATTCCAAAAGGAGTTAAATCAACTTTTGATGAAATTGAGTTATTGATATCAGAACATTGTACATGTAAGTACCTGTCTTTCAAAGAAATGATTTACCTAAATTTTGGTAGCAATTATGAAAAAATGCACCTTGTAATATCATTTTTCCATAGACACCTGTACAAAATCTGGTAAGCAATTTCTTTTTTCTATGAAGTTGTAAAAGCGGATTTAGCTCCTTTTGTAATTAAACTCTTCATTTGTTGGTTATTGTTCTTCCTTCCAGCCTCCTGTGATGTAGCGTATAATCTAGAGATCTTGAAGTACCACAACATCACCCACATCTTGAACGTAGCCAACCTTAATAACGTCTACCCTGATCATTTCACCTATAAAAATCTACCAATCTGGGATCTTCCTGAAGTTAAAATAACCAAGTAAGTAAAATTGTTGTCCCAAATTCTTTAATGCCCCTCTGCACTACCTATAGCTACTTCGCCTTCTGTATAGCAAACATTGCCTAATCTGTGACCTTTGGTTTCCCATGGTCCCCTTTTTCTTATGAGAGCTGATTTGATGATATAACCACTTGTCAGTGACCATGCAGGGAGGTCTTATCCCTCCTGGCCACACTAGTACAGATACGTTTTAAAGGATATATAAATCAAACCAGCGCTCAACACAAACAGGCGACCAGGTCACGTGGGTTCCCAAAATGTAAATCCGGACCTCAAAAATGTCACCCTTTTTTTTACAAAAGGCTCATGGATACATTCTCCAAAAAAACATTCCAGACCCCTTTCCAAAAATGCAGAGGAGAAGTGAATCAAAACTCTACATTTTTGGAAGCTTGAAAGTTTCATTTTACAAATGATTCTGGTTTTACACTACACTCCCAGGCTGAAATATTTGACATGTATTTGTTCTATTATTTTGAAGCTACCTGTAGTTTATTTATTTTATTTTTTTTTTAAATTTATTTGGGGGGGGGGGGGGTCATCCTTTTAGCTATTGTAAAAATACAAACTTCATTATTTGTGAAACATGTGTCCTGATTACAGGAAATTCAGTATAGATTCTCTGATTCTAATGACTTGAGAAAAGGTCATTGTCTCATTTATAATGCTTGCTGTACAGAGAAACCAATGAGGACCAATATTATTTAAATTTTGCATTTTTAAAATTTTCCTCATTTCCCCTTAGATTTTTCAAGTATGCAATTGATTTTATCAACCAAGCGAGAAGTACCGGGGGTCGTGTTTTGGTGCACTGCAATGCTGGCAGGTCTCGTTCAACGACCATCGTCGTAGGTTACATCCTGGCCGACGAGCGAGCCCGCATCAGTAAAACCCTTGAAGAGATCCGCGTACACCGTCCTTGCGTAAGACCTAACGAGGGCTTCATGCGTCAGCTGGAGGAGTATGAGACGTCTATACTTGCAGAGGATGCGGCACCGACATAACGTTTATGTGGAGCTGCTTCGAGGTGCGTTGCTTCCTAGCAGAGTGGTTGTAGGTGTTGCGTGTTTGTCTTGTGTATAGGTGAATCAGAGCCTGCTATTTATCAGAGATTGGACAGCGTGTGTATTGGGTTTTTACAGACGTGTATCAATCAGATATGATTATTTACGTCTGGGGACCGACCTTTAAACGTCACCATCCGAAAGATGTGACTCAGTTTCGAACCTGCGTCCCAAGCTGAATCAGTTTATAACTTCCATTGTTAGCTGGATTACAGGCGCACGCCACTATGCCTAGTTGCCCCTATCTCTCTTTTCAATGGGACTCATAAAACCCTTCTTTGCCAAATTTACATCCTAGCACACATTTTCTCTTTGATATTATGTACAGCAGGTAAGCCTTGCCAAATTTGCTCATTGCCCTTGGAAATAAAAAGCTGTGCCAAAATTCTGTACCAAATTCTGGAATATTGTTACATGAATTCTAAATGTTTGATGCATTTGAGTGTGACCAAAATTTTTTTTTTTTTTTGAAGCACATTCTTATTCAAAAAGGCACCAAGCGGTCCAATTTAGGGTTACTTTCTGTTCAAATTCTATGTGAATATCTTTGAAACCTAAGAGAAGAGACAAATCCATTTTCATGAAAAAATGTAGCTAGTCAAATCTTGCACACTAACATTTTTGAAGCATTTTTAGATATATTATGTTTGCAAATATAGCTCTCTTAGAGTAAACATGTACATGAGATCGTATAAATGTTACCTGTAGTTATATAAAAACGTATTTCATGTCAGAACAAACATTCTCAAAGATGACATATTTCAACCTTTGATCCCACATGGGCCATGTGAAGCCGTCTGTTTGGAAAACATGTTTTGATAAAGATTTTTATTCCAGAACATTGAACTTCAAACAAATACGCCCTAAGTATACCAGAATAGTGGCAATTTATGGTGCCAATGTTTCTGTTGTTTACTCTGTACATCATTGTTGGTTTTCAAAGAGGTAAAGCCCTAATACTATAAAGCTATTATTTGAAATATGCATTAGTTTGCTATTGAGAATGTACACTGTCTTTATGACTTCGGGGGCCACTGAAATCATGAGAAAAGTGATTATAGGGCTTGAATGTGATGAAGTCGGATATATAGTACCGTAGTGCATGAATGTAATATTCTTTAGCATTCCCGAGTCGATCCCCCCCCCCCCCCTCCCCCACTTTTTCAGGGACAAGGAATCCCTAGAAGTTGCAACAAATAATGAGACCCTCTCAGCCTCCCATGTTATTTGGTCGCATACAAGTCTTTGAGAAAATATTTTAGAAATATGTTTTCCCCTGTGGGCATGCTGTGTAGCATAAACCCATGTTCATGTACAGTATGTAGAGTTTTAGTGCTCTCCAGATATTTAACATTACTCTTATTCCGTCCAATATGAGTGATTGCTCTAAGACAGTTTAAGCTGTAAGTGTGCTGTAAACCATTCTCAATACATGGCAGGCTCTGTGAAATAGATAATTTAAAAGTAATATATAACATGACTGTATTGATCAATTTACCTTGCATGCTCTGCTGTTCCTTCCAATCATGTCTACATGTATGTGTATGATTCTATGTTTATCAAGTTAGCAATGCAGTTTTATTTTAATATGTATTTATTTGTTTGTTAACTTTATTCTTGCCAAGTAAAGAAAGGCATGCAACCATCTTTTATCGGTCAGAAAATGCATCAATCATTGAAAAGTGACGTCCATCGTAAAATTCCTTGCTGTATTTACAAATTTCATCATTACCAAACTACCAAAGACACATGCAGTCCTTTATTTGATATCGTTAGAAGAAAATGTCTTAGAAAGGGAGAAATTCTGTTAAATAGTTGATACAGGGATTTACCAAATACTTCATGGTTTGTTCTGGAAATCATGCATGCAACTTGCCGCATCTGCATAGGCTGTCAGTGAGCATTCAACATTGTTATACCTCAATTGCGTCACCAAATGGACTCAACGCCGACTCTAAACCAGACATGTCAACCTCTGGAGTTCAAAAACTGTATTCTATAATCCCAAAAGTTGTATTTTACTGACAAAAGTTGCATTCTTAAAAATAAACTGGATTTTTCCGCGGATCAATGCCTGTTACAGTTCCTACATGTACATACAGGAAGAATTTGTTTTATATTTTTAAATCGTATTTTATTGAGGAAAATCGTACTGTCGTATTCGCTTCTAAAAATCGTACAAAATATGACTAAATCGTACTGGTTGGCAGGTCTGCTAAATCAAATCGACTTTTTGCCATTATAATAATTGTTTGATCAGTCTATCGTCTATTGTCGGTCTCTATACAATTTCAGTATTCATGCCTCATTGCTCATATCCAAAGAAGTTTCTGATTTACATTTGAAGACTTGCTCATAAAAGATGGGCTAACCCGCTGTAGGAAACCGCTGCAGCAAAATAGAAACTGTAATTAAAAAGGTCAAGTAGGGGTGAGAAACAAGTAGATGTGTGCAACAAAGAACCCAGAGCATACTCATTTTTCTGTGTGTGAAAAGATTAAGAATATTAGCAGCTCTCTGCTCTATGTGTATGACATTTTATTTTGCTCCAGCAGTTTCTTAAGGTGCTCAACCCTTGACCCTATAGAGCAGTAACGAAACTGCAGTAAAGGTAAAGCAAGGTAGTGCAATGAATAGGTGCTGAAAGTCAATGAAATTGAAATTTAAAATTGTGACATCTTTGCTCCTGTGATATTTACCTGAATTATGTCTGGGTGTTTCAACTTGATCAAGTGAAATAACAATGTTACAAATCAACTGCTTTCAAGTTGGCTTTTAAAAGGAGACAATAAAATGATTAGTATTTCATTTTATCAAAATTTATTTTAGCAGACACATTAGCGAATGTGCTGAAATTTCTGATAGCAGTGTGCAATATGTCAAGTTATGGAAAGCTGTAATCCTTTCTGATTTCAATTAATTCATGTTCTACCTAGGTTGGGACTACTTTCATGTACGTAAAATAGCATACAATAATGACTATGGTATACTAGAAATACAGTTTGAATGAATCTTTCAAGTTAGGCCACAATTTGCTCTTAATCATTAAATGTTATATGCTGTGTATTAGGGCCCTATCAAATCCCTATTGTAATCAGAGAAAACCTAGACCATTAGTTCCCCATTTTCCTAGTACCGGTACTAAAAATCAGGGAATCCACTTTTGTAATGTAACCAAATGTAATGCATACATCTTTGTTTAATAATTGCCTTGAAACAAATTCTATCATTCACCTACATGTTCTACAAATTATTGTATCTCAAATGTCAGAATACAAATTGTTGCTAATTAAAGGTGCTGTATCCCTTTTGCAGCCAACATCAAATTCTGTTGAACTTTGCAGGAATGATGAATATGTTACAAAATTATGTCCTATCTGTGAAATTTAGACATTAGCGAAAATCAAGAAGTTTTGTTTTTACGAATTGCTGGCAACCATGTTCTGTGATTACTCTTGTATGATATGGTAATCTTTGAAGAAAAGGAGAGATTTTAAAGATAAATGTGAGTTCTGGTCATCCGATTGCATTGTGAAAGAAAAGGTATGGAATTGATCAGAAAAGGTTGATCATCTAGCATATAAGTATTGGTGTGTACTGCAAGGTTCTGGAATCATCAAAATCATAATAAATTTGGCCCAGTCTTGGTAAAGTAACAAGCACTGTACACAGAAAGATGCATATGGGACTACACAAATGGTGTTGGGGTACTAACCTTAATTTCCTAATATTTCTATGCTCATTACTCAGCCAGTATACATTTTCTACCAAAATTGTTTGGCAAATGACATTTATTTGTAATCTTGAACATTCAGTGTTATATTCGTTTGATTCTGAGAGAATTAATTTTCTTTTTTTTTACCAGAACTCGCCTTTATCTTTAATCTTTGAAGAAAAAGAGAGATTTTAATACAGATGTCTAATATCATAAATGCTGCACGTTAGATAAAATTATGTTGTAATCTATTAAGGTTCCTCTTTCCTAATTCGTTATTAGTATTATATATAAATGTATACGGTAATGTTTAAATTAGAACTATCAGTTACACTTCGTCAATGCATCTTTATTTTATTTTCATCATTGATTTGTTTGGAAGGATTTTACAATAAATTGTTCTTTAACAAAGAAATTTGATTGAATTGTCAGTAGAACATTGATGTTCGCATGTGTGATGACGTACATGAAGTGATGATTTCTCTGTTTAAGGACATTCTGCAGTAATGTTTGTATGCACCATAGCTGTACAGGGCCAGCTGGTTCTGTATTGACCATGCACAATGCCTGGACTTCCTGGTATTGTACATGGTCAATACATGATCAGCTGGCCCTTCAAAGCTAAGGTGCGCATGAGCATTTATGGCCTAACTTTCTTTAGTGGAGTCATATTTTCATTTTTTTTTTCCATAGCTCCTAATTCCTGTTTTATCAAAGTAAGACTTGTTGATATGTTATCTCTCCCCCCCCCCCCCCCCTCTCTCTCTCTCTCTCTCTCTCTCTCTCTCTCTCTCTCTCTTTCATCAGCTGTTGATGTAAATGTACATTCAGTACCATTTCTTGCCACTTCCCTTTTTTCTCTCTCTCTCTTAAAGTTTTCTCTCACTTTCTCTTATTCCATCTGTCTCTGTCACCACTTTTCCTTAAACATAAATAGTGCTATGGAAAGAGAAAGGTAAGAGAGGGAGAAGAGTGTAAAAGGAGTGGAGAGGAACATAGGAAGAATCAAAAGAAAACTGAGGAATCAAGAAGAGTGAGAGAGAGGGAGGAATTGAAAGAGGAAAGTGCTCCAAAGGGAAAATGGTGTGAGAAAAATGCAGTGATAGGAGAGTAGACAGAGAAAGCGAAGAAACATGGGAAAGAGAAAGACAGCAGAGAAAAGGAGGGGAAGATTGCAATAAGAGACTAAAATTGGCCAAGGAATACAAATTCCAGTTGTAGGTATTCTTTATTGTATCATACACATATTTCATAATTATAATTAAAAAACTGGGATGAGTGTTTGACTGGAGTACATGTACAAACAAAAACATGGGGTTCAACAATTTTTACAATATTCATAATTTGTGTAAATATTGCAAGATAATATATCTACATGTACATGTAAGTTAATGCTAGAATGTCACTATCAAGAATTCATACGTAACATTTAAAATAATGAAATTTAAACAAAATTTGAAAAACGTTTTATTCAAATATAACTAATATTTTGTTGATTCAAACCCACTTTTTAGGGAATACCTCAGACATACTTGTACAGGTTGTACAAGAAATTCTCAGCAAATTCTGTGTATACATTGACCATTCCAATGAATAGGATATGTCTCACATCAATACACGAGTACCAAAAATTAAGTTTTAAAAAAAAACAGTCTACAACTCTACATTGATTCAGCACAATACTGTACCTATATTTCAGGAATGAACAAGTTGTAATGATTATTTTATTACCTGTATGTAATATATTACTTAATTATGTGTTAATGTTAATATATATATATCATGGAACTTCTTTTTAGAAACTGCATGTTTTTACTTCATAAATAATTCATCATCTATAATCTATACATACATATACAAAAATATATATATTTTTTTTAATCTGTCACTCTACAAAAAAGTTACATGCCTGAAAAAAAATACAAAATTGCACAAAATTCCTATTTCCAAAATATGATACAATATACAATGTATGCAACACCCAATAAGTACTTGTAAATCTACAGTGGGTACACACTGTACAATTATGTAGAGCGCAAAACAATGAACCACTATTATATGAATATCATGATCGCACATCAGCTCTTCTGGCAGTAGCAAACTTGAAAGAATACTCAATAAGTAACATTCTAAAAAGAAAAACCTGCGGAATTGCGTTCCACAAAGGTGAAACATTACACATTAAGAAGACTAATGCATATTTTCAATCAGCATTTTGTAGATGCTCTTTCAACATGTAAATTAATTATTGTACCAGTTGATATCATGTTACAATAAGCGTGTGAGGCCACATGGAATTCTGCTGCAAATAACGTTGTTTGTTTGTTTGTTTATTTGTTTGTTTGTTTATTTTTTTGTTTCTGTCTTAAATGAATAACAATGGCTTTAAGATCAAGATTGTTCTTTTGTATGTTTTCAGTTTAAATAATTTAAAAGCCAATGGCATTTAGTTCAAGATTGTTCTTTATGATTGTTTGTTTGTTCTTCTTTTCTATTCTTTGATATAAATTGCAATAGCTCTTAGTTCAGGATTGTTCTTTTCAAATTCCCTTCATGACTTGATTGTGTACCTACAGTGTCCAGCACATGTCTTAAAATGCACAAGGAATGTAGGCAATGAAATAAAAAGGTGAGAAATTTCCAGGTGATCCAAAACATAGGATAGGAATAGAGAATATATATGGCATTATGTATGAAAGGGCAAGTCCACTCCAAAAATAACTTACTTTTAATAGAAACAAATCAGACAAACTAAAAAAAAAAAATTGAGCAAAATCAGATAACTAATAGGAAAGTTATGAATTTTTAATGACATGAAAAACAAATTTGAAACCATTATAAGTCTAACTTCTGAGGGTGTTTCTTGAAACCACTATACATGTAAGTCTTACTTCTTGGACATCCCATTAAAACGTGTGTGAAAGAATTAACACATGTTTCTATGGGATGTCCACAAACTTTAGTAGACTTTAATATGATGGTTCAAGATACCTGCCCCTTCTTGGCATATCTGACCCCTCCATATTTAAATTTGTCTAGAAATGAAGGTTTTATCAAGGTCACTTTGTAGTAAATTTTTTTTTTTGTTGTTGTATTGTTGTTTTGTTTTTAGTTTGTCTTTGGTTTATTTTGATCTGTTTGTGAAATGTGCATGTATTTGGCCTGGAGCAATTTGATAATCATTTGTTGTTGTTGGTGTTGTTGTTAGTGTTGTTGTTATTACTGCCATTGATGATTTGCTCTCATTTCTTTTCTATGAACACCCAAAGAGGATAACATAATTCACGGTTGGACTGATCTGCTTCTCCTTTTTAAGGGGGTCACGTGCTGGTTAAAATGGAGAAAAGTCTCTGCTTGTTGATGCTGTAAAATAGTTTGTGCACTTATGAAAAGCATTTTCGGAGTCGGTATATGAGCTCCTTGAGGCCACCGACTGTAATGGCCTTCATCTATATCAGAGCAAGTATGTAAATGTATGCTCGGTGGGGTATTCCAGGGGTGATGGAAATGGCCCCTGCGTTTCGGAGTGGGGTGTCGGGTGGCTGACCCCTGCTATTCCGCGCGGGGTGTTAACGTACATCCTGCATGGGGCGTCACTGTCGCTACCAGTGGCACCCTCTAGGGAAATGATGCCCTGGATGCCGTGCGCAGCATCATTGAACCCAGGGAGGACCTGGAGGTATTATATCGGTTTATCGTAGGTGAAGTCCCATTGAAGTCAGGGGGCCTAAAACCACATTGGCTCGAGGCCTTGGTACCTTGCCGGCTTGCAATGCACCCGGGATGTTTTCCTTTTGATACATTTTCATTTTGGTTGGGTCGCCCTTGTCCATTTTTATATTAAAAAGGGAGAAGGGGACTGGCGCAATATCTTTTCACTTTAGTAAATTGAGGATCAGCGAATGCCTCGGTCCTCGGCAAAAATCGTTAGTAAGTCGTACTAAATAGCGTACGCGCAAGGATTTTGCGCTATATATCCTGCTTGTAATGTGTATATACTGAGTATACGTCATAAGTCACCTACAAATTGTAATTATTGATGAAGACATCATCAAAAAATGTCCCAAGAACTAACACAGTATCAGAGCAGGATTTTGTCAACTTGGACATTCTAACCTGCATCAAGCCAGCAGCTACAAGCAATGTGGCTGAAATTGACAGAAAGGTCATGGGACCTCCACAAGAATAGAGGAAAGGAGCACTTATTGATCAAATTCAATATCAGAAGAAAGTATGGAATGCCAAAGGAAGTCCAGGACTTTTCTAGAAATCTAGCCAATGGGTGGCATTCACTGAAGAGCAACTGAAGACCCACCTCACAACCATCCTTGAAAAATGAACAGAATCCCAGCTGAAAATGTTAAAGTAGCAACATGAAAGTCCCTCCACTAAATGCTATCGAGAATCTCTGATATTTTTCGACAATGACAATACGTCATCCACTCATCCATTTTGCCATCCAAACATATAAATATTCCAGCTTCAAAAGGCAATATTGGAAGACAAACGGAGGTGAGGTATGCAGAGAAGACCAGAGGCAGCGAAGGCAAGACAACGAAGGTTGGCCTAAGAGAAAGAGATTCATATCCACATCTGGAAGTGGTGTCAAACGAAAGTTAGAGGGAGCCTGTCAGAAAGAGGTTTATATCCACATCTGTCAATGAATGACACTTTCTTGATTAAATTTAATAAGGACTTGGGGAAAAAACTAAGTAAAGAAGTGCCGGAAACTACAATGTTTTTCATCTGTCAGGAGTTTCGCTCACTAAGACAGCAGTTTGCTCACAGTTATCACCGTTGATTTGAAGTTATCTTACTATAATTCCTTTAGGGTATGTTTACCTTTTTTTTATTATTGTCTTCATCTTTAAAGAGAGAGAAAAAAAAGAGGATTTAGAAGCAAGTAGGAGAAATTCTGAAAAATAATCTCACTTATGTTTTCAAAGCATGATGTACGGTAGATTGTGGTACAGTGGTGACTTTCTACAGAGATTTGTTTTTCATTGATTTTAATAGACGTTCACACATAAGTATAGACGTCTTTGTTCGGTTAATTTATCACACTGGACTACATATTGTTGTATGAATTTTGTTCATTGTGTGTGTTCTTGTTTGCTTTGTTCAGATTGTATGAAACATTATTCAAAATCAAATAATTGGTTGTCATTTTTCTGTTAAGGTTAAATTTCTTTTTAAATTTTTGTTTTGGCACAGGAAGTGGGAAGAACATCCTACACATACATGGAGATACAAATATTGACGGGGTACATCCGCACTCACTACGCGGAACTACACCCTAAGTTGGATAAACCAAACAAGAGTATTTTTCAATTTCACATCAAAGCCATCTACCATGCATGTAAATATGCGATATCTATATTCATAGACCTATATGACTTTTATTATATTTTCATA